GGCCCCGCTGCTGCCGCACAGTGGGGGGGAGGCCGCACCTGATTTTGTTTTTTACTAACATTGTGAGCTTAATCAATGCTGTTGAATGTATAGTGTTCATTGCCATTTATGAATATAAATTCCATTTATGAAATGCCATAGTTTATTATGTTTATTATTATTATTACTGTTGGTGGATATTTGGGTTGTTTTTAGTTTGGGGCTACTATGAATAATGCTGCTATGAATATTCTTACATATATATTTTGGTTAGGATATGCATGCATTTCTATTGAGTGTAAGGTTATGAATATTTTTAGCTGGAACACAAAATTAAAGTATGGAGCCTGGGGAGTAGTGAACTCAACAAGGCAAATGCTACCTTATGGGGACCTGTCAAGAAGTCTTATCCAAAAGAAAGTTCTGGGGACCAGCAGTTAGCGTAATTGCTATTTGGCTGGACTCCCATGTAGTTGACCACAGTTCGAGTCCCGGACCTGGTGGCTTAAACTCATGCCGGGTGCGTGTGTGTGTGTGCCCAAGATCCCGAGAGGAGAATGGAGGAGAAGGGATGGCAGCGTGGCCATCCCCCCTGGGGGGTGATTTCTTGCTTTCTGTCTCTCTGTCTCTCTCTGTCTGTCTGGCGAGTGCACGTGCCCTATAGAAAAAAAAAAAGAAAAAGAAAAAGAAAGAAAGAAAAAAAAAACCTCTCCAAAAGACAGTTCTGTTCATCTCCATGTTTCAATGACCTTAGCATTTGACATGGCAGCTAAATTCTCTGGAGAGAGAGGTGTATTCATGTCAAGATCCACCCCTGACCCCAGCTTCAGCCAGCCCAGGTCATGGGCATACACATGTGCACCTGGTGTGTAGAGGGAGATCTCAAGATTTGAACTTGGGACCTTCCATTTTGGTTCATCAACACAGAGCATTTCATTATGGCTGTATCACTGCTGCCACCTCCTATAAATATTTTTAAAATATTTATTTATTTATTTCTATTTGTTGTTATTATTTTTTTATTTTTTATTATCATCATAATCTTCTTTATATTACATTAGATTACATATAACTTTACAGTGTATTACATTGCTTTTTCAAAAGGGAATGCCATGCATGTCAGTCAGTACAGAGACATTA